ACACACACACACACACACACACACACACACACACACACACACACACATAAAGGTGGACAAGACAGGTGTAGCTGCCCTATCCATTTGCCAGCTGTTGGGTATTATGCAAACGAGGTGTAGAGTTACAGAGTTAACAGAGAGCCAAAGAGTAAAAAAAGGATTGTTGTGGACAGTATGTTGGGTTGAAGCATTTAGTTAAATTCACTGCTTCAAGTGAAACACTTTCATATATCAAAATGTACTAATTAGAAGAAAAGATAAATATCTATCTCTGCCTGATGTTTATTCTTCTGCTCTCAGGGAGACAACTTGATTCTCTTCCGTTTGCTGTAACTTTGATGAATCCGGGCGCACGACATACCTTAAAGAAACACGCATGCCATGAATGTGAACACACTATGGGACGTGTAAAATTGCAACAGAGCTTTATGAAACAAAACAAAACGCACCAAGAGGTGCTCTGTTTGTTTGTAAGAACCATGTTTACAATTTGAAGGGATTTGGAAAAAAATAAAAGATTAAGTTATTAAATACCTTATCAATAAGATTTATAAAATATCCACATTAATTAAACTGGTTAAAGCAATAAAAAAAAAAAATTCAATTTATTGGCATAAAAAATGCAAAATGTCTTATTTGATTTAAACAATTAGGTTTTACTGTCATAAGGATTTAGTTAAAGTGTATCAGTTTTAGATTGAGACTTTTACAATGTTTAAGAAAGATTTGATTACCGGTAGTTTTACCGTATCTATCACAATACATCTCCTTGTTGTTACCAGAATATTGTTGTACAAAAATATAATGCAATAAACTCTCATTTTCCCTACTCAGGAAGAGACACTTGACTGCAGAAATCTGAACAATTAAAAACAGACCTCAATAATAGGTTTATCAAATATGGACTACTATGGAGAGGTAGTATAAAATAGATAAAGGTTACGGATTTTAAGACAATACAATAACAATGACTTTCATTTCTGTAAACAAGCACCCACAACAATAAAACACTACGTCTTCCTCTTTTAAAAAAGGCAAATATTACATATTTAAAGGCAGTCAAACCTTAATTTGAAAATTGCGCTCTTCAAAACACAAGATAGTTTCACAAACGGCATCAAGATACAAACAGTGAGTAAACTAATGTATGTGTGCAATTCAAAGGACAAATATAGCTCTGAACCTACAGTGACTACCATCATAGAGGAGAGGGGGGAGAAAGAATGAGGACAGAAAAATAAACCAAAGGAGAGGAATAGTGATGGTTTCTTTTCAGTAGGGCTCAACGTGAGAGGCAGAGTGGAACCTATTACGCTCTTCATTAACTCAGAGGGACACGAGGACAGAGATAGATCTCAGTGGCTGTTATTTCACCCATCAACAGTGATGAAACTCTGCAGCTTCTCTTAAAAATTATTAAATGTTCAAAGGTTCAGCAGTTGAAACTTTTAACAAGTACGCAGATATTCTTATGGTGTTTATACTAGTGAAAACACCAAAAGTTCACCGAGCTAAAACTTCGTACCGTTTCTGATTTAAATGACGGGGTCATTACTTGTTCTCAGGAGAAAAGTGTTATTTTAAGAAGTGCAGAACTTCCTCATTACATCTTTGAACACCACTCAAAGACAATCACGCTCAGTGACATGTGTGTTTTTAAATGAAATTAGTCTTTACTTGTTGGCCATACAGAAAGTGGTTCCAGTCATAAAAGATGTAAAAAGATTTTAACTAGGCTCTAAGGATGGCATACTAATGTGCATCTCATTTCCATTGGACTGAGAATCATAGTTTAGGCCCTTTATACACAAACCTGATGATAAGACACCTTAAACGTTCATCTTTCTTGTCTTCTTGACCATGAAATAAATCAGTCTGATCCGACAGGTCTCTCTTGTAAATGAGTCCTCAAAGCTCAATGGGATGTACCCGTCTAAATAAAGCTTGAATGAATGAATGAATGAACGTTGAACTTAGTGAATTAATTCTGCTCATGTACCAGCTTTTAGCTTTCTTTGATGTCTCATAAATCAGAGATATAAAACAACAATTCATGTGATCTGTTAAACCAATTGCAGATTTATAATTTTTAACATATCTGACAGTACACAACATTTTTCCTGTACCATTTTACCTCATTACGAGACTTCACCTCTGTGCTCCAAAGCTAAACCCATTATTAGCATTAGCACGTGTTACCTGCATGTCGAAGCTGCCAGCTGGATGCAGTTGTTGCACTGTGTTCAAGTGCAGTTTTGTCTTGATTTTCACTGGGGTTCCAATATTAACCATACAGCATAGCTAAAACCCTGAATAACCGCACAATGAAAAAAGGAAGCTCTTCGCATTTTGTCTAGTCTCATAGAAGATGTAAGTGCAGGAAGATCAAAACAGATGTGTTTGAGTTGGTAATAACAGCAGTTACAGAGCTACTTATTGATTTTCTGCAACATTTTGGATAAAATGGTGCAACTGTGCAGTTGTTTAGCTCTGGCTCAGCGCATACCTAAAAAAAAATTTGGGGTGTCATTTGTGCAACACAACCTTTTTCAAACATCAGTCAACACAATTTCCATCCCATAAATAATGATGGGACCTAAAAGATATTCTATGTGCAAACTGTGGTTAATATGACTTCATTTTTCATTAAAAAACTATTTCCAATCCAGCTGGATAAATGTGTCTGATCCAGGAAAAGCTTCTCTGTGAATATGTGCAGCTTTGATTATTCTCATTAACTTTATTGTTCTTGTGGGAATGAGAAGCATTTTTGCATTCCTTTGTATTTTAAGGTAGGACAAACATCTACATCTGTACTTAATGTGTATGAAAGTATGCAGTGTGAGAAATGAAAATAAGACTGCAGCGCTTGTACTAAAGCTAAATTACTTTTTTCCCTCCACCACCATGCCTCTCTCTCTTTCTCTTCTCTGCTGTGCGCTCTCCATTTCTGTGTGTGTATGTCTGTATTTGTGTGGGTAAAGCAAAGGTTTGAATAACAAGCAGCCAGCTAAGTGGGTCAGGGTCGGGAGAAGGGAGAGAAGGGGGGAGACTATAAAGATGACAGACAAGGACAAAGGAAAAGAGAGAAATACAGCAAATCAAGGAAGAGTGAAAAGTAAAAGTAGAAGATGAGAAATGGAATGTGCATTTTTTTTTTTTTTTAAAGAAAAAGGTAAATACAGAGTGATACAGAGTGAGACGAGGGGATAAAAATGGAAGGAGGGTGATTTTACTTCATGTCCCAGAAACAAGGCTGTGGCTTACCTCTTGAGTTCATAAGAGGTTTTAAAATATTTTAAAAAGTCACTTACTAATGAGATTTTTTTTCAAAGTTAAAACATAAAAAATATTCATTTTTTTGATTTAGCTTCACAGTTGAAACCATTTTTTTTTAAATAACCTTTTTAAGTACAACAAGGAAACCACAAGCTTTATAGGAACACACACACACACACACACACACACACACAGGTGTTTCATGGTAGTTAAAAAGACAAATAAATGTGCTGTAATAAAACGCTCCAAACTGCAGTTGGACTTTCACTTCAGGTAAAAGCTTGTTTTCATTGTCGTTTTCTTTAAACATGACGAAACTGACAA